GGGGGTTCTAAACTAGTACTCTAGAAGAAGCCAAATTTTATCCTGCCACTACCTTAGTAATCCTGACCACATCTCAAATTGACAAAAAAAGGTTGTTGTTTTTTTTTTCAGATCCTTTCTTTGTGGTACTGGAAATTAAATACTTACTAATAGAAACTTTTCAATGTAAAGGTATGTCACTTTGAGATTCTGTCCTTTCAAATTGTTTAAAGTATCTTTTAAATGAGAGCATGATGGCAAAAGGCTAGCATTACTAAGGATGTTATTGGCAATTCTATTGTAGTCTCTCAACATTGGGGAGAATATCTGTTTTGAAATCTGTAAGTCTGAAACTACTCTTATGTAATTACTCTTCCCAAAGTACTAGAGGACTTTACACAGAGACAGACACATACATACATACATACATACACATACACACACACACACACACACACACACACACACACCCCTTAAAACTGTCTCATTAATCACTACCTTATTCTATTTCTATTAGGAAACTTAAGAATTGAGAAATGAGAATAAAGTGAGTTCAAGCAATTCAAAGTCACATGAGTTAACACTGGGTCCTAGAAAGGGACTTTGCTCAGGAACTTTCTCTTCCATTAACTTTTCTCATCCTTTACCAATCATTCTACTAACTGCTGGGCTCAAATTTTCTTTTCCTAAAAGTCATATCTTTGAATACTACTGCTATACATCAATTTTCAAACAAAAAGAAATAGTGTGACGTCCTCAATAACCAGCCTTCATTTATTTAAGGGCTTTTCCACCTTGTCAAGAGCATTTCATGATGTTTCTTCTACCCACTTCCAAAAGAAAATTAGGTCAGACATGGTGGCACACAATTTAATCCCAGCGGTGAGAGGCAGAGACAGGCAGACCTCTGTGAGATCAAGACCAGTCTGGTCTATGTGGAGGCCAGCTGGGGCTACAGGGAGACCCTGTCTCAGAAAACAAACAACAGAGAGAGAGAGAGAGAGAGAGAGAGAGAGAGAGAGAGAGAGAGAAGAAGGGAATCAACAGGAATGGGAGGGGGATAAAAGAGAGAGAGAGAGAGAGAGAGAGAGAGAGACAGAGAGAGAGACAGAGAAAGAGAGACAGAGAGACAGAGAGACAGAGAATGAGAATATCAGTCTATAGGGCTGGAGAGATAGCAGCGGTTAAGAACACTGGCTGCTCTTGCAAAAGACCCAGGTTCAATTCCCAGCACCTACACGGCAGCTAACACCAGTCTGTAACTCCAGTTCTAGGGGATCCAACACTCCCTCTGATCTCCATGGCACTGCTCAACACGCATATACCTACCTACTTGCAAGCATTACACTCATAATATAAAAATAATTTTTTTTAAAAAAAGGAAAGAAAATCAATCTATACAGCAGTCTGCTAGAATTTCTAAATCCCCTTATCTCCATTTTACACACAAACACACACACACACACACACACACGGTTGAAGGTAGTTTATAAAAAGGCTATTCAAACTGGATACATTTCTTGAAAATAATTTTGCGTGCAAAGGCGGCTATTTTACTTCTATTAAAATATCTTAGTTCTTACCTATCCTTTGACAAGCATGAAATTTAAAATATTAAAGACTTATTTTTAATTATGTGTATGTATGTCTGCATGTGGTAGATATGTGCAAGTAAGTATAGGTGTCCTTGGAGGCAAGAAGAGGGTATGGGATCCCATGGAACTGGAGTTAAGGGATGTTGTCAGCTGCCCCACCTGGAATGCTGGAAACTGAACTCAGGTCTTCAGCAAATGCAGTATGTACTCCTAACTGTTCAGCCATCTCTCCAGCCTCAAATTTAAGATATTTATGTACATCACTATCTAACTAAACATTAGTTGCAGCTATAAATATTAAATTCACTCTTTATTATAGAGAAGTAGAAGTCAGGCATGATAGCACATACCTATAATCTAAGAACCTGGGAGGTGAAGGATCTTGGGAGTTCAATACCAGCCTTAACTAAATAGCAAGTATGAGGTTAACTTGGGCTACATGAGATCCTGTCTCAAGATACACGCCCCCAAAAAGTGGGCTGGGTATGAAGATCATTCATGGAGAGCTTGCCTAGCATTGGGTATTCAATACCCAGTACCACTGAGAGACTGAGAGAGAGATTTTGTCTAATGTACTTTAAAATGATTTTAATATAATAGTTGTTGGCTGGAGAGATGGCTCAGTGGTTAAGAACACTGGTTATTCTTGCAGAAGTCATGGGTTCGAATCCCAGCACCCACATGGCAGCTAACAACTGTCCGTAACTCCAGTTCCAGGGGATCCGACAGTCTCTTGTATCTCCTCAGGCATTACGTGACACAGGTGCACTTACATACATGCAGGCAATAACACATATACACATAAAATAATAAAATATTTTTTTAAATATATAATAGTTGCCACTGCCAGGCGTGATGGTACACACCTTTAATCCCAGCAGCAAGAGGCACAGGCAGACTGAGTCTCTGTGAGTTTGAGGCCAGCCTGGTCTACAGAGTGAGTTCCAATTCCAGGGAATACAGGGAGAACCTATCTCAAATAAAAGACAAAAAAAAAAAAAAGTTGCCACTGAATTATTATTTTATTACTCATTATTAAAAAGCAATGAGAGCTGGGCATGGTGGCACACGACTTTAGACCCAGCACTGGGGGGATGGGGGGGAACAGAGGCAGGTGGATCTCTGTGAATTCAAGGCCAGCCTGATCTACATAACCCTGTCTCAAAAAAAAAAAAAAAAAAAAAAAAAAAAAAAAAAAGCAGTAAGAAACTGACATAGGAATGGCTATAATCCCAGTCAGGAGGACTGCTTTTCAGTTAAACCAGTCAGGGCTACATAGTGAGACCCTATCTCAAAAAAGCTTGAAAATCTTTTCTTGTAGTAGACATTAACCATGAAAATATTTACTGTATACTGATTAAATGGTTCAAAAATAGTCTTTAATAGGGGCTGGAGAGGTGACTCAGAGATTAAGAGCACTTGCTATTCTTCCAGAGGACCTGGGTTCAATTCCCAGCATCCACATGGTAGCTTTGTCATCCTCTTCCAGCCTTTGTGGGCACTGCACACATACCAGCAATCCAAACATTTGTGCAATTAAAAATGAATCCTTTTAAAAACACTCTTTTAAAAAGCCCCCTTTCATTAAAAATACAGTAAATTACTTGTTTTTTTGTTTTTGTTTTTTTTGAGACAGAGTGTCCCTGTAGCCCCAGCTGGCCCGGAACTTAATACATAGATCAAGCTGGCCTCAATCTCACAGAGATCCACCTGCCTCTGTCTCCTGAGTGCTGAGATTTGGTAACACCACACACAGTTTCAGTAAGTTTTTTGTAAACAGTGGCATTTTTTAAATCCTAAAATTGGTAATTCTACGTACATTTGTATTAATCTATTAGCCAGTCATTTTAATTTCATGTTTTATAAACACCTGATACATACCCCAGGACCCACATGGTGGAAAAAGAGAATGGACTACAGAAAGTTGTCCTCTGACCTCCAGAAGTGTCCTAACACACACACACATAAATAAATAAATGAATAAATAAATAAATAAATGCAATAAAAAAGATAAACTCAGGGTTCTCAGCAAGTACCTGAGGTTAGTTTAGAAGACAACTTGGATGGAAACAGGCAACTTGTGTGGGCTGTCACACTGATACATTTTGAATTATAAACTGGTGCCCACATTACAAATGTACTTTTTAATGTTTCATGAGGTCATATAATTATTTTACAAAGCTACAGGAATTCTATTTAGGAGCCGTAAGTTTGCAAATAACAACAAAAGAAACTCCAACACTAGTTTGTTTAAGTAATCATCAATAATAGGTCAAAATAGACTGGTGAGCTATACAGTTCTACCTAGCAGTTTATCAACAGGCAAGGGAGAAATGTGGTTAATGTGAGCACTGTCAACACCAAAATCCTAGGGAGAGCAAGCCTCTGTTAACATTACAAACTACCAATCTTGCAATCATTCTTTTTGCTTTTTCCTGGGTAACGCCTCCAATAAAAATGCCCCTTTAAAAATGTATCTTTATTCCTACCAAATTTAGTCCACTAAAAACAATGTAAGTAAAAAAAAATCAACTACATTTTTAAATAAGAAAAATTATCCGAAAGTTATGTATATTTAAGTTGTGGATATCCCATTAATACTAATCAGCAACGTTTAAAAGTCATTCTAAGCTGCCTGTGCCTGTAAACCCTCAGCATTCAGGAGACTGGGCGCGGAGAACAGCCACAATGGTTACAGTCAAGTGAGTTCGAAGCCAGTGTCCGCTACCAGATAAGACTTTCTCAAAACAAAAAACAAAAAAATAAAAGTCATCGTAGCACCTAAAACACTATGACCACACGTTAACTCTAAACTTAAAGTACACCTAAACTCTGGTCATTTTCCCCCTCCTGGGCACACTGAAATTCATGAGAGAAAAATTCAGGAAATCACATAGATCAAGCGCTGGCATCTTCCTTTTCCAGAGTAGGGTCAAATGCGTGCTTGCCCGCAAATGTCACGGTCGCCTCTAGAAGGCTGCCAATCCTCAGCGCTACGGAGTACAAAGAGGCCTGAGCACGGAAACACCTGTCCCGAACACCCCGGGAGCACGGTGGGAAAACCGGGCTGGGAGTGCACGCCCCGCCGCACAGCCCCGGGGCAGGAGAGGTCCGAGGACCCAGTGGACACCGGCCTAGCCGATCGCAGCACCGGGGTCTGCACACGCCTCCCACGGCTACAGCTGGGAGACCTGTCACGCCCGCCCGTACGCGCCCGCACCCTCGCGGCTGCTCCTGCCACCTCATCCCGGCCCACCGCCTCCGCAGGCGGCCTGCGCTGGGCCGCCGATCCCACCCCCCACCCCACCCCCGCCGCGCAGCCGTCCGAGCCGCGGCCGGGGCCCCGCTCCGTCAGGCCGGAGCTCCGCGCGCTCCCCGCTCCCCGCCGACGCCCGTGCTGCGCTCCCGTCACTAGAGCCGGGCTACCTGGAGGCCAGAGCGGCGGAGCACTTCACCCAGGGCCCCAAGTCGCAGAGGGCCCGGTGCTCGGGGTCCCGCTCCTTCTCCCGCTCCACGTGGTAGGCGTAGATGGAGAGCAGGATCCCGGCGGCGCACACTGCATACCGGGCCACCCGCTCCCACCGCGGCACCGACACTCTCAGCAGGACGGGCGCCGCCATCTTCCCCCCTCCGCCGCCGCCGCCTCCCTCCGCCTCCACCTCAGCCGCCGCCGCCCGTCGGGGCCCGACCCAGCCGCCGCCACT